ATAGGGCAAAACTAGGAACTAGGTGTTTTAGCCTTGAGATTCCACCAGCTAAGAAATTAACTGTTGGCTTGAGTTGCACAGATATTTTATATTTTTGTACAAATGCCCTTTATTCGTGAATCTCAGAAAAACTACAGCTCTTTAAAGATTCAGTTTGACCCAGTGACATTTTACCATATGAGGTAGGTTAGGCTGAGAAAGACAGTGAATGGTCCAAAGTCACTCAGTAAGCTTCATGGCTTAAGTCAGGATTTGAACCCTGGTCTCCCAGGTCCTAGTCAAATACTCTAACCACTACACAGGTGCCCTAGATAATGTTAGGAATGCCCTGCCTCTTAATTCTCAGTCTGAGGGGTCGAGAGAGGTAAGGGAAGATGCTACCTGTTCACATGTATTATTTTAGTTGCTTTTGACTTGGCAAAGCATATCCTGTCTTTCCTGGCCCTTCCACGCCAGGAGAAATTGGATGGGTGGTTGCAGTAGTTCTGTGAGGCTCTTTCCAATAGAGGGAATATAATAATCTGGATGTCCTTTCTCCTGTGCTGTAAGAAAACTTGCAATACTATTGCAGCTGCATTTTTCATGTTTTCTAGTGCCAGGAGACCTGCAATCATGCTACAATCTTCTTTACGGTGTGGGAAAGTGAAATCTTAGAGAAAGGCGGAGGCATGGCCACTTACCAGCTCACCTGTGGGGTAATTTTATCTTGCTGTGGGCAATTGCTTAATTGCACCTTTGCATTCCTCGCCAGCAGGAGCAAGGAACTGGAGTTGTTACCCTGACCTAATTGTGAGCATCTCAGCCGTTCTCTTAACGATTAATTAATGAACTTCCTCAGCAAGCAAACTTGTTTTCTTACTTTCATTCTTGCAAAAGTGTGTTGTCTTCTCTGTCTCATAAGCCTGAAATGGCAAATGATCCTTAACTTTCAAAGGGGAGCATTTAGTCAGCGAAATGAGTCGGATACTGCAGTTTTCTACACAAGGGCTAGGTAATCTGTGGCCCTCCAGATGTTGGATGTTGACTCTTCATCATCCCTAAGCATTGGCCATGCTGTTTGGAGCTGATGGGAGTTTGAGCCTGGCAACATCTTTAGAATTGCCCTGTTCCCTACCTGTGCTCTACACGCTTCACCTGAAAATAAGTGGGACTTAACACACATACAATAAACACATTGTCAATCTAGGAAATAAATGGATCTTTGGAGGGGATGCACAATTATACTTCCCTGTAAATACTAGTATGTGTGAAGAAACGGGTCAGGTTTGAGAACGTCTGCAAGTAGGATGGTGTGCAATTGTTTCAGTATTTCAAGACAGGTATGGAAGGGTTTGTAGGTAGTGCAGTGTAGGGGTTAGAGGTTGAACTAGACACTTGGGAACCAGGTTTCAAGTCTTCACTCAGTCATTGGATAACCTTGGGCCAGCCACTGGCTCTTAGCTTAACCTACCTGGCATGGTTGTTGTGATGCAGGGGCAAACCATGTAAGCCACCTTGAGGTCTTTGGAGGAAAGGCGGGATATAAATGTAATAATAAGAATGATAAGGCTGCCTTTCAATTTAGAGATGGACCTGTTGAACATATCTTTCTATCTTATACAGATAGAAAGATACGGAGATATATATCTTTTAAATAATAAACTTTAAAAGCTGCAGACGGTCAGTACTGTCTTCAAAGAAGCAGTCTCCCTTTTCTCTCATGCAGGAGGGAATGCCTCTCTTAAGTTAATACACCCGCTACAGCAAATGCATGCATCATCTTGAAACAAAGAAAGTTGTCTTGTTTCAGAACCATTGTTTTTACGTGCGTGCATATGAAACCAGTGCATTCATTTAACAAAAAACTTGTACTTTTAATCAGATAAGATTTCTTTAGTCCTGTATTTTAAATCTGATCAGTTCTATTTTCTTCATCTCATCGTTGAGCTGCCATAGCATAGTACAGGGTTAGCCAATGTGGTTCCCTCTGTTGTTGGACTCCAGTTCCTATCATTCCTGGCCAATGGCCATGCTGGCTGAGACTGATGAGAACTGTTGTCTGAACGACACCTGCAGAGCAAAATGTTGGTTACCCTGGCAATGGTCTTTGAAAACATCTGCGCTTAGCCACGAACTCACTAGACGGCCTTGAGCAAGAACTCTCTTTAATCTCAGCCCTTCTACTCTTGACTTTTCAAACCGTAATATGGGACTGATGATGTTCACGCTGGCTTTGTTTAAATAATATTCCTCCGTTAATCATCCTCTCCTGTGCCTTGTATCAGTTCCCTCTCTTGTAGGAAGAAAGTGTAAAATGTTTCATGTGTTTCTAGCTACGGTTGTGAATTTTTTTAGTGAAAGTATTATTATTTTTTCTTTTTTTTGTGAACCGCTTTGAGGTTTTTATCTACAATCACATGGCATATAAATCTTAAGAAAGAAATAAAATGGAAAGGAGATGTAGACTGCTGCTCAGCCTTGTAGGTCTATGACTGACCGCCCTGTGATCCTTGGATAAAGGGTGGTATATAAACATAACAAACAAACAAACAAACAAACAGTGGTGGGGAACTTTTTTCTACAAAGGATAGTTGACTCATAAGGGAAGTCGTTTTGGTGCTGCAGCCACTGGCGGGTGAAGCTGGAACAAAGGGAGGGTGGAGGTTGCAATTTTTAGGGTTGCGTAGTGCACTTTCTGTCTTTCTCTGCCACAGTAATAGAGGTTTTCTGGGAAATTTTCTTATGCAAATTAGGCATATTTTTATAGTGTAATTTCCATCAGCAAATTTTCATTCTGCCTTGAAAATAGTTTCTATGCAAGTTACTCTGATCTGCACCAGGATAAACTTCCAGTTTGTGTTAGAAAACTCCCTAGAGAGTGATCTAATTTGTCTTGAAACTGAACATTTTACAGGGAAAAATGAAGCATTTGGCAGGCTGGGGCGTGGGGTGGAATCGCTCGACACCACTGCTCTGCTACCATATCTTTGCATTAAATGAGGGCTGTGTGTGGCCTATGAGCTGCAGCTTCTTGTTTTCGGTATGAGAAGTCCCGAGAGCAAGGGGCACTCCTCAGAAGTTAGGACCAAAGCTCACAGGTAGAATGAATCTGTTTATTTCGCTCACTGACCAGAGTTCTCACAGGTAGAGCACTCGCTATGCATATAGAAAGTCTCCAGATCAAGCAGCTTGGTGGCATGAAAAAGTTCTGTCTGAAACTTTGGAGAGCTGCCGCCTGTCAGTTCTGGGATGGATGGACAAAATTGTCTGAGGCTGTTTTCTTAAGGTGTTGCATGTTCCACCAAATTACAGAGACAAAGTGAAAAAGGCAAAATGACTAACTAGACATGGAAGCAGATCTTCCTTTTCCTCAAGGGCTACTGCATTAGGTGATTGGGTGTATCAACAAGCTCTTTTCTCTAATTTATTTAGATCCTGCATTCCTGTAAGTGCAATGCTGTGTACGCTTAACTCAGGAATAAGTTTTACTGGATATAGTTGGATATGCTTCTGAATGAACATTCATAGAATCAGTAGTTTAGTGGGGCCAAGCCACATTCCCAACACCAGTGCTGCTATAGCTTACACAGATGGCATTTGGCAAGGCTACACAAATGCACCATTGGAGCCAGCACTCTTCCTGGTCTACCTGTACAACTCCCTATCCAGGCCAATGCCATCCAGATAAGCTGCAGTGGCACTGCTCCATCACACAGCTTGGGGTGTGGGCTGTGAGCTGTCCCCACTGCCTACATCAGGCATAGGCAAACTCCGGCCCTCCAGATGTTTGGGACTACAATTCCCATCATCCCTAGCTAACAGGACCACTGGTCAGGGATGATGGGAATTGTAGTCCCAGACCTCTGGAGGGCCGGAGTTTGCCTATGCCTGGCCTACATTCCTGCTGAAGTCTAGTTAAAGTCTTGCACAACCTGATTACAGTGGTACCTCAGGTTACATACGCTTCAGGTTACAGACTCCGCTAACCCAGAAATAGTACCCTGGGTTAAGAAAATTGCTTCAGCATGAGAACAGAAATTGTGCAGCGGCAGCAGGAGGCCCTATTAGCTAAAGTGGTGCTTCAGGTTAAGAACAGTTTCAGGCTAAGAACAGACCTCCAGAACAAATTAAGTTCTTAGCCCGAGGTACCACAGTATTGTTATTCAGATTACGAGTTGTCCAATTAGTGTGATGTTCCTCCTAGGGGGTCATGACCATTTCTTAAATTTTCAGACCTAAAAGTCTTCCCTGGTGCAATGGTTTGGAAAAATGCAGGAAGTCGCTTGCAAGGGCCATGGCTAAGCCTACTTCCTTCAGACATCTTGCATGAGTCACGATGGATAAGGAAATTGTTTCGGTTCTCAACTCTCCCTTGCTGTCCTGCACACTCCTTTGTTGACACTGATAGTAAATGTCCAGGTTAAACATTGCATTTGCTTTCCACTCTTTGGGGTTCAATCTCTTGAGTATTGCTTTTTATTGTCTGTGTTGGTTCTACAGAAACAATGTTTATTTTCCCACTGTCTAACTACTTAAAGATTATTTAGAGACACATGGGGTGTGACCAGAAATTGAGAAATTGTTCTTCTTGTGTGAACTGTCATTTCCTAATTCTAGCAGAACACAATATGTTTGATTTTAGCTTCTTTCTCTCTTTTCAGTCTGGTATTCTAGAATTATACATTACGTGCAGCGTGTATAATCTAGAAGTAAAACTTTGCATAGGATTGAAGCTTTAAATGTAGTAAGCATTGGCTCATGACTCTTTGGACATCTCGGTGCATCTAGTCATGCATGAATGCTTCTTGCATGAATTTTAGTATTTGGATTGTTTTTAATCAGCGCTGTTGGTGGTTTTCTGCAATGTTCCTAGTTCACCAGAGCACCAGATGTTGTGCACAGGAACGTTGGAAGCAGTCTTATGCTGAGTCAGACCATTTGGTCCATCAAGCTCAGTATTGTTTACACTGGCTGACAGTGGCTCTTCTGGGTTTCTGGCAGGGAGCCTTTCCAGCTCTAGCTGGAGATACTGGGGATTGAACCTGAGACCTTCTGCATGCAAAGCAGATGCTCTACCACTGAGCTATGGTTCTTCCCTGGCCATGCCTCATGCTGGGAAATTACGGGACAGGTGCCGCAGTGAGGTAAAGGCTGTGGTTGGGATCAACACAGTCGCTTGTTCTGGAGCTCTACAGAATTCTCTCAGTTCTGGAACATGAGGCTCTTAATCTCAGGGCTGTGGGTTTGAGCCCCACTTTGGGCAAAAGATTCCTGCATTGCAGGGCGTTGGACTAGATGACCCTTGTGGTCCCTTCCAGCTCTATGATGCTGTGATTTTAGACACAAGTGGAGTCTCACTTGACTTGCGATGGGTGAATGCGGGCTGTGCAAGAAGCAGAAGAATATTGGTATATGGATGCATTGTGTTAATATTTCAGACAATAGGTAAAGGGACCCCTGACCATTAGGTCCAGTCGTGACCGACTCTTGGGTTGCTGCGCTCATCTCGCTTTATTGGCCGAGGGAGCCGGCGTACAGATTCCAGGTCATGTGGCTAGCATGACTAAGTTTCAGACAATAGTACTGACTAAAAGAAGCTGTGTTATGGAAGGATAGTATTGCAGAAATGTTAACTCTTTAAATGATGGCTTGTAATAAGCATTACACAGATTAACTGAGGATAAGGCTATCAGTGGTTCCTTATCCCTATGGTTATTTTCTATCTCCACTGTCAAGAGGCAACATATCTTTGAATGACAGCTGCTGGAAATCACAGGTGGGGAGAGGGTTGTTGCACTCGGGTCTTGATTACACTCTAGTTCGCGACACCCCCCCCAACAACAACAGCAAGCGTGAGAGAGATAGAGAGAGAACACGAGAATGAACCATGAGACTGTTGTTTTTGCTTCCGCACACTAGCATGGCTGCTATCCCTCTAGTAATAAGTTCATGCTGCCTTAACTTTAAGTTTTTGGGTTGCTAGCTTTCCAGGGTGGGCTGGTTAGGAAAAGGGTCCCATCTGGTGGAAAGTTTTATACATCATCTTAACTTTGTAGCTGTGATTCACAAATGGTTTTGCTAGCACCAGATCAATTCATTTCAATTGCACAAAAGAAATGATTCTAGTACTGTACTGGTGTTGTATGTGAATCTCCCACTGTGTAAAATATAAGCCACTGTATAAATCTTTGCAGGGCTAAATCGTTAGTGAGGTTCTACTTGGTTCATCCTAGGAGAGGCAGAAGAGAATTTATTCATGAGCTATAAGCATCTAAAACATAATAAGCTCACATATTTTGTTAGCCTTGATTTAAGGCCCTGCGAACATAGAAATAAAGGCAATGTATGCTTGGATTTTAAGCATGAAGCTCTCGGGTTTATTTTTCAGATTTATTCTCATACTGTTTTCTGCAGAACTTTAAATATATTTTCGCCTTTTCATTACAGATTATGTTTATTTTGAAAACTCTTCAAGCAATCCATATCTAATCAGGCGAATAGAAGAACTTAATAAGGTACTTGAATATGCAATCTTTTGTGCCACTTGACAAAGAGTTGAAGCCCTCCACAGTAAAACACAGAGGTGTAATTCTTTTATAAAATATGGAAGTTATTCCCCCCCTCCCTCAGCTCTTGTGTGAAGTTTGTCAAGAAATGCTTTTTTTTCAGAGCTGCATTTTAGAAAATGAAATATACTTCAATCTGTGCCACAACTGAAAAAAAATAAGCCCATGCCACCTAATAGATCATTTGGCTTTGTTTAGATGAACTGTGATTTAGTACTTGTATTCTCCCCTCTTGGCTGCTGGAATCCTGTGGGGGGCAGGATGCAACCTGCTGGAGACAGTCTGGAGGTGTGTAGAGAGTATAGCATGCAATGGAAATCCATAGCTAGGTGATTATAGGGGGAGCCTGCAAAGGACAGATGTCAAGAGAACGAATGTCAGAGTGGAGCAGGACAAGGATTAGCTAAGCACACTCTGCAAGGTCACAGATATAGCAGGTGACTGCCATGCACCTAGTAACTGCCTGAGCTGAGCCTTGTATATTGATTGGCTCATGCCCAGGAGTCTGAACCAAGCCACTTTTGCTTTGGTGAGGAGTGACTCTTTGATGGGGTTGCAGCCTGACTTGGAGCCCAGCAAACATTAGGAACCAAGGAAGCTTCCTAATAATAATAACAATAGTAGTAGTAATTTATATGCTGCCCATCTGACTGGGTTGCCCTGACCACTCTGGGTGGCTTCCACAAATCAAACACATTAAGCACAGTAAAAACATCAAACATTTAAAAACTTCCCTATTCAGGTCTACCTTCAGATGTCTTCTAAAAGTCAGATTATTGTTTTATTTCCTTGACCACTGACTCATACCAAGTCAGGCCATTGACATACACTGGAATGTGCACCTTACTGCAGATGCTGTTTATCCGTGCTGCATTGCTTTTGATGGCGTGCACATTCTGAAGTTTAGTATTGTCTCCTCTTACTGGTAGCGACCAGAGTGGATTTGATTTGAATAAAATCGATTTAAATCACAATTTAAATCACTAGTCAGTAAGACTTGATTTAAATTATTCTTTTTTTACAGAAAGACTCATTGTTGCTGGTATAATCTTAATATTTACAACCAGAGGAAGGTTTCATTTTTGGAATAATAAATTTTTGGAGTAGTTTTTACAGTTATATCAAAAATTACTGATTTGGTTATACTATTAGAAATACAGAGACAGATAATTATGAAATTATTGTGAAGTTTAATAAGTTAACTGTTTATATTTGGACAACTTTTCTGCTGTACTTTATTGGAAGGAGAAAAATAATCATTTCCTTAATAACAATTTAAACAATTTATTTAACTAAAGTGATAACATTATAGCATATGTATCCATGTTTGTTAACTGATGTGGTTAAACGTTGTTTTTTTAAAAAAAAACTTAGACTGAGTTTTATCACACATGAAAAACTTAAAACAAATCCTTATTTCCTGATGAATATCTTTTGGACTATAGTGTAACTTAAATAGAAAACTGTCTTTAAAAAGATTTTTCCTCCAAAAGCACTTTATTTTAAAAAAACTGATTTAAATAAAAAAAAATGCGTTTATTTTTTTAAATCATTGATTTTTATCCACCCTTGTAGCAACTCTACAGGGTTTCAGGCAGGGGTCTCTTCTAACCCAAGGGTGGAAAAAGTGCTGCACTGTTGACTCCCCAACTGGAGCAGCCAGCTTGGAAGAGCAGTAGCGTGGCATCTCCTTCCCACACTGGCTGTTCCCACTCCCCAGTCAGAGAATGCAGCAATTTGGGAGGCAGGGAAACGTTCAGCTCTTCAGATGTTGTGGGATTACAACTCCCCTTATTCCTAGCCATAATGGCCAGTCGTCAGGGATGATGGGAGTTGTAGTCTTAACAGCATCTAGAGCAGCGGTTCTCTGTGGGTCCCCAGATGTTGTTGGACTACAACTCCCATCATCCCTGAGCTCTGGCCTTGCTAGCTAGGGGTGATGAGAGTTGTAGTTCAACAACATCTGGGGACCCACAGGTTGAGAAAGGCCGATCTAGAGGGTGCCAGGATCCCTATCCCAGGATTAAGGGAATGGTTTGCCTGATAATCTGCCACATGCTCAACCACAAAAAAAGATGGAGATAAACTTTGGCTGGGGATGGGGCGGGACGGACGGACTAATGAGGTGGAGGTTTACTAAACAATTAGTGCTTTCCCTTAGCCAGGTTTTGCTGGCCATGTGTTCCACAATTGTGATACATTGATTTGTTAATGGGTTGTGTTGTTTTTGCAGACTGCCAATGGCAACGTCGAAGCAAAAGTGGTGTGCTTTTACAGACGCCGTGACATCTCGAATAGCCTCATCATGCTTGCAGACAAGCATGCAAGTAAGTAGATTGTTTCCTTTAGAAACAAACTGCATGGATTCTGCAGTTTTCTGTGTGCGTGTACTGGAATGTACATCTTCATGCAGATGCAGTTTATCCACAATCCGTTGCATTTTAAGTGCCCTGCATTCCCGCACAGCTTCACTCACACCCCTAGGGTGGAATTCAGCTTTCACCCTTTGCTTTGTTGCTTCTGGAAAGAAGGCTGCTGATAGCGATTTCTGCCAATACTCCTATACTCTGCAGCCCTCAGCAAAATCTGCTCTGAAGTGTTGGGGGACCCTGTAGAATGGATTTCTTAGGATGAAATGCTGGTTGTTGAGAGCTGTGCAGGGTCAGAGAAAAATCCCCCTTTTGTTAGTGAACTGCTATGCTGAATCGACAGCCCTTTCATTTGAAAAGTATTATTTCCTCCTTTTTATCAGTGACATAGTTGACGGCTGAATATCTGTGTGGCTTTGCTCAGCAATATTGTATGTTTCTTTTGTATTTGCACTATTTTAGTGTTGTTAGCTGCCCTGAGCCTGGCTTCGGCTGGGGAGGGCGGGATATAAATAAAATTTATTATTATTATTATTATTATTGTATTTATCTACGCAGTGACATAATTCACGATTTGGTAAGCCCTCACCGTGTCTACGCCTGGAAGGTTAATACCTTTAGCCGTAGTTTCTTGTTGCCCGTGTGAACTCTGTTTTTGTATATGCCATTGAAGCGATAGTTTCTGCTCAGTTCTAATTGGTAACGATAGGAGCAAGAGATTTAGCTGAGGCAGAACTGAAAGTTTAGAACTTGACACTCTGCCAATTTTTTTTTAAAAAATTAATTATATCCTGATATTCTGCCAGAGAGGGATAGCTTTAATGTAGTTTGCGGTTTCTTTATCTTTCACAACAAGGCTTCATTATTTCATGCATAAATAATGTGCTAAGTTTTTGGAAATTATCATGGCAAAATGCCATATTGATTTCCGCCCTTTCCTTATTCTTCCTTTTCCATTGCTTTGTAACCCCCACCCAAGCATATCAAGCTATTTCCCAGTTTTTATATTATTTAGTTACTATATATTATATTTATATTTAATATAAATATAATACTTAATTTATATTTATTTATATTATTTATTAAATTTCTGTACCACCCTTCATCCAAGGCTAACAGGGCGTTTACAATATTAAAAACACAGAAATACATACCATAGTA